AATAAACATCACAGTGTAGCATTAGGGTGTTGCCATGACATCTTGAACTCATTTTTCCAGCGACTTTTTGAACCACACAAGGGTAGTGTGGCATCTACATTCCTTACACAGACATAAGAAACACATGCCTGGACCAGCACATCAAAAAAATGAAACAAGACTACCATCTCACACCATACACGAAAATCAACTTAAAATGGATAAAAGACATGGAGGTAAGACCCAAAACCATAAAATACATAGAAGAAAACATAAGGAAAACACTCTATGACATAAACTTCAGTAACATCATGGCCCACTTGTCCCCAGCAGCAAGGAAAGCAAAGAAGAATATAAAAAAAAAAAAAAAAAAAAAAACTGGGACTACATCACACCAAGAAGCTTCCGTACAGTGAAAGAGACAGTAACCAAAACGAAGAGACACCCCACAGAATGGGAGAAAATATTTGCATACCATACATCTGACGGGGCGGATATCCAAGGTCTACAATGAACTCATACAACTCAACAAAAAGAAAACAAACAGCCCAATCAAAAAATAGGCAGAAGAGCTAAATAGGCACTTCTCCAAAGAAGACATGCAGATGGCCAACAGACATATGAAAAAATGTTCATAATCACTTGTCATCAGGGAAATGCAAATCAAAACCACAATGAGATGCCACCTCCCACCTGTAAGAATGGCCCATATTTTAAAAGTCAGAAACAAGTGCTAGCGAGGGTGTAGAGAAAAGGAAACCTTCTCACACTGTTGGTGGGGATGTAGACTGGTACAGTCCCTATGGAAAGCAATGGGTAGGTTCCTCAAAAGACTAAACATAGATCTTCCATACGATCCAATTCCATTCCTAAGAATCTATCCAAAGAACACAAAAACACTAATTCAAAAGAAAACCTGCACTCCTGTTTCTTGCAGCACTATTTACAACAGCCAAGATATGGAAACAACCTAAATGCTCCAAAACAGATGACTGCATCAAAAAGATGTGGTATATATACACAATAGAATATTACTCAGTGATTAGAAAAGATGAACTCATGCCATTTGAGGCAACACAAATGGAGCTGTAAGGGATCATGCTAAGTGAAATAAGCCTGGAGAAAAATAAATACCGGATTGTGTCACTTATATGCGTAATATACAGAAACCAAACAAAGGGTGAAACAAAGGCAAACTCTTAAAACCAACCCTTGAAAATTGAGCAAAGATCTGAGGCATCCAAGAGTGGGAGGAAAAAGGAGGGGGACTGTGGCAGCAGATTACAGGGGCTTTGGTGGTGGGAGAACTACCAAGACCAAACCCAAAGGGAGAAATCCTTTATTGTCAGAATATTAACAAAGATGTAAAGCAATGGTACTTAATTAATAAAAAAAGAAAATAGATAAATTTTTTAAATAGCTGTAAAGCAAAAAAAAGAAGAAGAAGAAATTAAATACATGCCACTAGGGCCAGCCTCTCCTGTATGTCTTTTCTATCCTTGGGTGTCTTCCAATCACAGCATTAAAGTCGCCAAGTTGGAAGGCTCTAAGTGTGTCTCCTGTTTGCAAGAAGACAGGTTGAGGTTCTCATGATTCCTTCTTAGTATTTTCTGTAGCATCAAATGTTAGAACATGAGCACTACTAGTACCAGCTTAATAATCCCCTGCTAAATTTCAGCAAAAGATTATAAAATTCTCAATTAATTTCAACAAGAGGATTTTATAGTTATAGTAGAATTTTGATCAGAAGACCCTGGCTATCCAGAAACCTTGGAGGTTCTGTTATCCTCAAGAAACACAGCATTTCCTTTAAGCATCATGAGAAAAAAATCATATGGAGTGTACTTTAAATTCTTGTGCCTTCTTAATTTGACACACAAAATGTAATTCAGACTATCGATACATATGGGCCATGTGAGAATCAGTGATTATACTACAAAATAGTCTTAAAGACCCATTGAGACATATACCCTTTCATTAAATGCTTACATTAAATACTTAAATTGCCTTCAAATTTTATTCTTTGAATTCCTGTGCCTTTTAAATTTTTAGTCTTTCTGTTTCTTATACTACTAGTACTCCTTAATTTTACTTGACAAAAGAACTTTAACAGCCCTAGTACAGTACTATTTCAATTTCTTCCAATTGCTAAGTCTATCTGGCAAACGAATAACCAAGCGCTTTGAACTTTACATAAAGAGTCCCAAAGAGATACCACATTTTGGGCAATGATCAAAATACGTGAACTACAGCTTGTGGATTTAGGGCATCTCTTTTGGTTTGCCACTGATTTGCCCCCTGGATAAGTAAAACTATGCAGATATAAGCTTCCGACTGCTATGGTATGATCCTAATACCCAACAGCTACAGAGCGCATGCTACTGTTTAGTCCCTCTCATGTTTTTCTCCAGAGATTTCCAGGGCTCGGTAAGGCTATGATGAACATGCCCACATTACAGATGAAGCACAAGGTGGTTAAAAGCTTTGGCAAGTCTGGCCCAGGACACCAGGGCTGCCTATTTATGGAGCCAGTGTTCCCTGCCCTGCCCACCCAGTCCATCCTAGATTTGTAAATATGCTTTGATTCCACTGGAAATGGAATGAAGAATAGTAAGAGTCAGGGCCCTCCTTGATGGGCAGCATGGAAAGCAGAAAAGAACCTCAGAGACCTCAGGGAACTCACAGAGCCGGAAACGAGAGACAAGTTAAGAGAGATCAAGTTGTCACACGGTTTTCTTAACATTATCTTCCATCAAGTCAGGGCCTGGAATCTGTCAGGACTTCAGACTAAATCCTTCCTCTTCTTGCCCTCACACACTAAATGCTTCAATGGCTCACTTGGCAAGGTGCCAAAGACAGAACACACACTTCTCCACTCCACAGAAGGTAGCTGCCACTGAAACACAATGGGGGTGACATTGCCAGCTGAGCACCTCTTGACCCACTGTCACAGCATACACCTTAGTAGATGGCCTCCAGAGAGATTCATTGGGGTGTTGATGGCAAAAATCGATCTTAGCCTGACAGGACCAGGCCTCACCACCAAATTAGGAAGTGTTCCCACCAGCTCTGGCCTAAGGCACTAAGAGATGTGATAGAGGGGTCCCTATGTTGGCATTCTAGGTCCTGTGGTGCTAGGTCCTGTTACCTAAACAAATGTGGTGGGAAGGAAGGCGAGTAAGCAAAGTATCACATACACATTCCCCTCCTGGTGGCCAATATCTCAGCGGGACAGCTGTTCTACCTTGCAAAACATCCCACAATATTTTAGTGCAAGAATGTAGAGGCCTCCAGTCTCTTTAGGTCTTCACAGTTCCAAAGAAAATATGTCAAGGCAGCATCTGAGATCTGCTTTTTTTTCAGCCCCAGCCAATCCCGCGAAAAGCTAGAAACCCAGTGGGGCAAAAACTGCATGGAGAATAGTTAGGACCTAAAAGAAGTCAGCCTGGACCTTCACCCTAGATTCAGGACTTACATTCTCTGTTCAGTTAGGAAACTAGGGCCCTACAGGCGTGAATCCAACCTTCTCAAGGGTTTGAGAAGGGTAAGTGACCAGATAAAAGTTTAGATAAGCAATAACTAGCTGAAGGGAATGTAGGAAGGTCTTCAGATCCACACCAAGTCAAAACCAATTCCATGCTGTCCCCAAAGGACACATGGCCAAAGGACACATAGCTCATAAGTTCCTGCTCATCCCCACACTCTTTCTGCCCCAGCATACACAGAGTCACATAAAGACAGATTAAAAGTAGGACCCAGCTTCATTACAGGATGAGCCAGAGCTGGTGGTGTGCTTCTTGGGTTCACAGTCTCACCATTAGTTGGAGTTACATAATCTCACACACAAGGGCTAAAGAACATTTCCTTGGAGGTCAGTTCCATGCACACCCCATGCTCCCCTGCCTCCCACCAAACACCCAGAAAGAAAATCAGTTTTTGTTCACACAATCCTTGCACAGGTTAGGAGGTTAGGGGAGAGCCAGGGGACACCTGGCTTCTGTGGTTACAATGTCAAGTGCTGCCTGAAATTTGAGTGCCTCAGCAGAAAGAGGGCTAATGTACTGTACACCCAGCCACCAGACCTGCAGATCCTCCAGTCTGCAACCACTTCCCAAGTTCCAGGGAGGGCAGAGCCATGGAGCAGTCCCAAACATAGCAAGGTAAACCCAAGCAGCTGCACTCAAGGAAACCCTACACCTGCTCTGGGCATCCCTATACCACTTCTGTGCAAGCGCTGCCAGGGCTCAAATTGTACTCCGAACTCGGGAGTCCAGTCAGGACAGCCTCAGCAGGGATCATTCAGCACCATCAGCATTTCTAATCTTAAAAGAAGGTAAAATGTGGGTCATAACTTCCGGACAGGCACCCGCTTTGCTAGCTGTAAGGCAAGAATCCCCAACAGGGTTGGAGTTTGGGTTTGCTTTGGTTTGGGGGAGAGATGGTGATTTGGCTTTCGGATTTTTAAGGGACTAGGATTTAGGAGAGAAGAGAATGATCTCCCTTCTGCTTCAGCCCCCAGCATCATCCAAATCTCATTTTCAACCACACCGGCAACAGAGATCGCTTGGGTTGGCCCCCAAAATCCTGGATCGGCAGCCTGGGCAGCGGAAGAAAATGCAGGTGCTGCAGAAGCCAGACAGCTATAGCACATTAGGAGAGTTTGGTCGCCAGAGCGCAGAGCCAAAAAGCCAGTCAGCGAGCAGCGCGGCGCGCACAGGGTTACAGCCCGCCTGCCGCCGCCACTGCGGGTGATTGACGCGCGGGGGTCACTTGAGGCTCGCGCTGCTCCCCCAGCACCAGGCCGAGCAGAGCTCAGCCCACCGAGGGCACCGCACACCGCGGCCGGCCGCCCACCCGGCCAAGGCCCTGCGCCCGCAACCAGACACCTTGCCCCAGAAAGGCAACGACAAAATGGAATCGCAGCTCCATCTCTTACTTTCCGGCGGCCACAGGCCAAAACACAATAAATAAAATAAAGCGCAAGGAATCCATCCGCGGAATAAAAATCCAGAGTCCCCTACCTTGGGCCTTGGGATGGCAAACTGGTCCTGTGTTCTCTGACCCACGGATTCAGCCCCTTCTTCATGAATTATTCCGGTCAGTCGGGATTTTGTGCATATTTTTCATGAACACCTGTTTCAAGTAAGGGGTAAAGACCTGATTGAAAGAATTGTCCTTAGAAAATAACCTGTGCACACATATGTCCACCCAGGCACGCATACATGTTTGTATACACACATATGCACACGGAATACACATGTACATTGAAGCACCAAACTAGGCAGTTGGATAATGGGAGAGCCGGCTGGTTGTGAGCATGCTCACCGGGAACAGATCCACCCTCTGTTATTCCTCTGAATAAATATAAATCACGATCAGAAACCCAAACAGTAGCATCCCTTTTGAATTCCTGCTGCTGAAAAACACGGAATAAATTCAGCCGGCAGACACAGAATCTAATCAGCAGCTGTTTTCTGAATCCAGAGCCAACCCAACCTAGCTTGTCTTTTCCACTATGAGTCCAGACCTTTTTTGAAAGGGGTTTTAACCTTTTAAAGATACAGTACACCAATTATCACTTCTGAATAGCTATCACTCCAAGAGCAGGAAACCAGTCCCGTGCTTAAAGCCACAGGGCAGGCTTACCTCCAGTGATAAAGATTTCATGTATCAGTGCCTTAAAAAAGATAGATACACACATACATACACATGTGTGTTGAAAGAGACAGAGAAAGAGATGGGGAGGCAGGGAGGAAGGATGCAGATGCAAAGTCTTTTATAAAAGCAAACACACACATTTATTGCAGTGATGGGCTCCTCAGTGACTAACCAGAATGTTATGTAAACACGATGAGACTTCCCTTCTGCGCACACATTCACAGGTGAGTGTAGGGGACTCTTGTGTCAGCCAGGGTGTAGCCCCCGCCCCAGGCCTCTAACTGTTGATAATGATCCAAGATGCCTGCCATGGAGGTGAAAAGAAGTAGGGCCCTCAGTCTCTCAAAGTTTAACTCCCAGCTCTCTACTGCCCTGTAGCTTCAGGTGGCATGTCCTCAGCCCAAAGGATCCACTTCTAACCTAGAATGGAACCAAGGCCTAGATCTTGTTCCAAAACACTTTTTTTTTTCCTCAACCAGAATCAGGAGTCAAATCTGCCACCTGAACCTTGAGAGTATCTAGGACTCAAACCTTACCTCCTTCGTCAAGATTTTGTTAAGGACACAGTTTTGTTTTTACTTTTCTTTTAAGGGCAAGTTAAAAAAAAATGGTGTGTTAAGGAGAGGGGGGTAGTTGGGGGAGGGAGGTGGAGAACCCCTAGCCCAGTTGTTCTTTTACAAATATTCCTCCAGGACCACTGCCACCCACAGGTGTTTATTACAGTCTTGTTTTTACCCCTTAAAGAGGTAACATAAGAAGAAATCAGAACTTCTAACCTCCTGAAAGAAAAATGCCTTTTCCAGTTTCTTTTTCACCCCAGGAGGGAGCCCCAGAGCTTCTGAATAACACTGGCTGCTTCTGGTCTGGTTCCTGCCCAGCAGCAGCAGCTGCTCACCTGAAGAGCAGCCCTGGTATTCCTGCAGCCACCAGGTGAGCCCCTCCGCCCTGGCATCAGAGCCCACTCTTCCACTCGCCTGACCTTGTCGGGCAAGCCGCTGAAACCAACACACTCACCTTCCCACCTTGTTGCAGGTGCTCACACGCACACATCCCCCACCCCCACCCCCACCCCTTTCCAGGGCTCTTTAGCAGAAAATTATCATATTTCATGTGTCATCGCCCTAGCTAGCTATGCCTGTCATTGATTGGCTGGGCACTGACAGCTGGAAATGTCACCAGCCACACAGCATGAAACTGGCTCTCCCGCGGCCACCACAGACCTGAGCCCAGAATGCTCTGTGACAAGGCGCGGACCTACCACAGGGAGCTGTCACTCCTCTCCCGCTCCAGTTCCCAGGCCCTCTCCTGGCTTCTCTCTCTACCTTCCCCGGGGAGAAGGAACCAACAGGGGCTGTGAAGGCAGTCTCAGCCAAGCCCAGAGCCTGCGCTGCCCCACCTGCCCTGAAAGAGCTTGGCATGCCCATTTTTCCTAACACACTGGAGAAGAGAAGAAAGAGTGTTCCTGAAAAAAAGTCTCACCTCATATTAAAAAAAAAAAAAATAGAAGCCATCAGCAAGCCTGGATGGAAAGCAGATTTTTACCTGCAGGAGTTTATCTGCTGCTGCTGATTATTCCCCCATCTAATATCACAGGTACCAAGGTATCATAATCATAACATCCCAAAACTTCAGGGAACCCAGAAGGCAATTTGGTCCATCTTCTTTTGAACAGATAGCTCTCAACCCTTCAGAAAACTCACCAGAAAAGGAGGCTTCTTAACTTGGCTTTTCAGTGCCCATGATGCCACACAACTTTTTCAGAGTTAAATGGTCTTTGCAGTGACCAACTTGGCTATAATTTCAGCTCAGTCTCTCCTGCTGCGTCTCCAGCAAGTTTAATACAACTCACCATATATCTTTCTTCATTTTATTCTCCTGTCTAAATTAAACCCGATCTCTGGGCCTCCCCGGTGGCGCAGCGGTTGAGCTCTGGGTTGCGAAGCTGCCCACAGCCTCTGTAGCGCCAGTTTGATCCCCAGCTGTTCCCCAGCCACCAGAGGAGGGTCCCCCATGGCACGCAGACCTCTCCTGCTGCCCGCTGCTCCCCTCAGCAATGTGCTTCGGTCCTTCTGCCTGCTCTGCTCCCCATCTCTGGCTCAGTGAATTCTCTCACCCTCCCGCGCTTCTGACTATACCCAGTGCTTGTATAAATCAATAAATAAATCTTTAAAAAAAAAATAAATTAAACCCGATCTCTCTGGACTTTTTTGTAAAAATTGTTTCTCAAAATTGTTTCCCTTCACTATGCAGTTTTATTCTTTAGACTTTAGAGAAAAGCCTCCCAAGCTACAAGAGACTGAAAGTTCATTGGCCCAGCCATCCACAGGATGCCCTAGTCCCCCTGTACTGGTTCTACTCTAGGGCTTCTGACTTGGGGAATGGTAAATCAGGCTCATAGAGCTGCTCCTTCCCATTCCTCCAAACCCAAAGCATTTGTATGACCAAGACATCAGTGGCAGCACAGGAACCAGAGAAAGAGGCCATTGGTAAAGCCAACATTTTAAAGAGTATGGGAGAGATATAAATTAGATGGAATGGTGGTGAGGCAGAGTGCTCAGTGCTGATAAGTTCAGGCATGATTCTGCAAAGGCACCCTAAGAAGAAAGTGCGTAAGTTTACAGAAAAAGAGCCTGGAATATCTCAAGCCCAGAGGATCGGAGATTGGACAAGGGTCATGGCATCAGTTCAGAGGCAAATTAAAGAACACTGGGAATCAGGCAGTTCTCGCCACATAAAACAGTCAGACACAGTGGTTATTTCACAGCTTCTCTGGGAAGTGGAAGGTTTATCCCTAAAATGTGTAGATGCCAGAGGTTGCATAGGGGCAGGATCCTAGCTCATTTGGGAGCAACATAAAAAAAAAAAGAAGAAAAAGACATTTAAATAATCAGATAAGACATAAAATATAACAGAGAGATCCAGAATATCCATTATTAGTCTAATAGGAATTCTAAAACATTACTATTGAATTGGGAAAGCAATAACCAGAGAAGGAACAGAACATTTCCTTGAGTTGAAGAAAGACTTCCTGCCTTAGAGCACGTGGGCCCATGGAGCACTACGCACGCAATCCTAGTTGTAGTCAGATATTCCAAGATAAAAGGGAAATAAGGACAAGTTTCCTGACTGGGGAGGAAAATCAGGCTGCTTACAAGGAAAGAAAATCTGACTGGCATCATACTTCTCATCTGTAACACTCTGCTAAAAGGCAGTTGGCACAACTTTAATAATAATGGAATATTATTGTTCCCCAAGAATTCTACCAGTTGCCAAAGAACAATTTACCTCATATGTAATGACAAAAGAAAAGCATGTTCAAAGACAGAAATTATAGCACCCAAATACACTTTATTAGATTTTTTAAAATTACCTGAAGATCTAGTCTACTCAAAGAAAAATTAAGTTAAAATAATAAGCTCAAGAAAAGAGAACATGCATTATATAAAAAGATATGAGGAATAAAGTAAAAAATGTAGAGCTAAGTATAAAATAATTGACAATATGGTAGGAAATTTTAATTTAATTGTAAGAAAAAAGACTTGCAATATATATAATTATAAAATATCATATTATATATAATTACATACAATATATAGTCATATTACATAATATATCAATATTACTATATTGCTAATGATATTCTACATATTCATCTTATATACTTATATTATCTATATTAATATATATTCTGTAGTATAAGTTATATATTATTTTATATTATTTTATAATTGTATGATATTTTATTTATCCTATAATTTATAATCAGGTTATTATATATTATATGTAATTAATTATATATCACCAATATATTATTGGATTACATATTTGATATATATACTATATATCATATGTACTATACATTAGTATATGTGGCTACATATGTCAATATACATAATTATGTTATACCTATATTATATAAAATTCCAGATATATACGTATATATACATACATACACCCACATACAGAAAAATAATCTGGATTAAATTTCCATATGATGTTACAAAAATTTGGAAAGTCTTAGTGAAGATGTATGAGTAAAACTACTCAAATAAAAACAGAATGAGAAAGCACACAATTCCATCTCTCGCCTCTCTTCCCAAGGCTACATTAAAATCAAAATAAGGAATATTTGTAAACTTAAATACCTGACAGAAAAAAGAGCAGGAGAGCCATTAGCCAACAAAATTGAAAAAGGAGACTAAAGGGAGTTTGAATTTTGCAATTATAAATATATGCTTTAATGTTACAGTAAATAAAATAGTATAGCACAATTGCAGAAACCTACAAAATGCACTGATGGAACAGAATGAAGTTAAGGAACAGATTCAAGCACAGTGTTTACTATATGACAGATAAGTGATAAAAACTGAATTTTAAATCAACAGGGGAAAGAATGTATTATTCAACAAAAAATGTCAGGCTGGCTTCTTGAAAAATATTAAGTATTACTTCTCATTCATACCTTATACAAAATA